GAAGAGATAGCTCATCAGTTACGAGCACTTGAGTGCTCTTCCAGAAGTCCTGAGTTCAATTCCCAGCAAACACATGGTGGCTCACAACCATCTATAATGGGATCAGATTCCTTCTGGTGTGCATGAAGACAAAGCACTCACATACATTAAATATATGAACAAATAAATGTTTTTTTTTTTTTTGTTTTGTTTTGTTTTTGGTTTTTCGAGACAGGGTTTCTCTGTGTAGCTTTGCGCCTTTCCTGGGACTCACTTGGTAGCCCAGGCTGGCCTCGAACTCACAGAGATCCGCCTGCCTCTGCCTCCCGAGTGCTGGGATTAAAGGCGTGCGCCACCACCGCCCAGCCAAATAAATGTTTTTTAAAAAGAGAGAAAAAGAAAGGAACTATGTTCTCTCTTGGTCTGAGAACATAGTTCAGTAAGCAGAATGTTTGCTTGCCTAGCATGCCATGGGTTTGATCTCCAGTACTGTGTATGGTGGGGTCTCCCTATATTCTCAGAACTTAGTACTCAGGAAGGGGTCATCATTGACTACACGCTGTGTGTAGTGTGAGGACACCCTGTTCTAGAAGACATCCCTAACCTCAGGCAACATTACTCAGGGATAGGGTGACTGTGATGGGATCTTCCAGTGTTCTTGTAAGTAATCTCCATACTCCCCTGCATCATTCTCATCTTTTACCATTTCTCTCCCAATCCCTGCCACTATCTCCTCCATTAGCCATGTCATGAACCAAGTAGCACTGTGGTGGGTTTTGGTCAAAGATTACCGTTAATGAGCTCTCCTAACATTTGTACCTGCATCAGAAGGGCTGGTAAACCAGACAGACAAACTCTTCATGCTGCTTCTTCCCTCTGGTTTTATTGTTTATTTCCTCAAATCCTTTCCTTTCCAGATTTCCATTTGATTTTAGTGCATTTTGAAGATGGGTTACCACTCTTCTTTCCTTTTTTTTTTTTTTTTGGAGACAGGGTGTCACTACGTAGCTTTCACTATCCTGGAACTTCCTACATAGACTAAGCTGGCCTCAAACTTACAGAGATCCGCCTGCCTCTGTGCCCCCGGAGTGCCAGGATTAAAGGCGTGCGCCACCACACCCACTCCCTTTTTAAAATTTCACACAATTGTTGAGCTTCAAAAGTGTACTCTGTAATCTGGGCTGGGCAAGTAAATGGATTGGTAAGCCCAGCTTCACAAATACGCATTCTTAAAAACTATGAATGTGGCAAGTGGGTGGTAACACACGTCTTTAATTTTTTTAAAGTATTTATTTATTTATTCATTTATTATGCATACAGTGTTCTGCCTGTATCCCTGCAGGCTGGAAGAGGGCACCAGGTTTCACTAAAGATGGTTGTGAGCCACCATGTGGTTGCTGGGAATTGAACTCAGGACCTCTGGAAGAACAGCCAGTTCTCTTAACCTCTGAGCCACCTCTCCAGCCCATGTCTTTAATTAAGACCAGCATTTAGGAGACTGCTGTCACATGAAGGGGAACTGTCACTAAACTGCTTCTGCACCAACTTCCCAAGTGTGGTTCAAACTACCCTACATTAGCAAAAAGTCCCCAAACAGCTTCTGATGTTAAACAATACAGTACATAGAGCATTAACAGAGTTGTTCTCCACCACAAATCACAGTCAAGTTTCCAGCATTTGGGAAAACCACAGAGGTCAGCACATCTGGAGTGCATTGGGTGAACCTTACTCTGGGAAAACCTCCTCTACTTTAGGTAAGTAGCGGTTACTGGTTACCCAGCATTTCACCATCAGATTCTAAACACGTTAAACATATGTAAAGTCTCTTCATCCTATTGTTATTCTATTACTTAGGGCACGAAAGCCTTTTGTAATTACAAAAGCTGAACTAAACTTTGAATACTGTTGTATTTTCAGAATCCTAAAAATGTATGAGGTTTTTGTTGATATGGCAAGCGGAATGACCCACTGGGAATCTGTGAATCTGTCTTTTCCATCACTGCAAAGGGGATTTTGCAGGTGTGATTAAGTAGCTGAGATGGAGAGAGTATCCTGAGTTACCCAGGTGAGTCTAAAGTAAATCACACAGCACACAAAAGAGCTAGGAAAATACAGAGGTAACAACAGAAGTCAGAGACAAGACACTAAATTGCTTAGCATACTTGGAAGGTGGGAGAAGGGGTCATATTTAAGGAATGTGGACGCCTCCAGAAGCTTGAAAGGTTAAGGTAGTAAATCTCCAAAACTTCCTGAAATACAGCCCTTTTCGGCTGTAGGATGACATTCAAGTGAACTACAATACTGCAATCCTTACAACCCAATTTACATCAATTGAATTTACATCAATTGAATTTACACCAATTCAGCCTGTGGTAATCTGTTATAGGAATAATGCCAAACTGCAGGAAGAAAATGAAGCAAAATATAAGCTTTAAACACAAAAGATTTCTGAACCACTAACAGGTAAAACAGTATCACACCACTAATATGGTTCATGTCTTAAAAGCCTGCTCAATTTTTGTTGTTGTTTTGAGACAGGGTTCTCTGTGTAGCCCTGGCTGTCCTGGAACTTACTCTGTAGACCAGGCTGTCCTTGAACTCAGAAATCCACCTGCCTCTGCCTTCCAAGTTCTGGGATTAAAGAAAGGCCTGCACTACCTCTGCCCGGTAGGAAACCTTAACTGAAGAACTTTCTCTATCAGATTGGCCTGGGAACATATCTGTAGAGCATGTTCTTGATTGCTAAGAGGTGTGGGAAGGACCAGGACCCTGTGGTCAGTACCATGGGTAAGCAAGTAGGTATGGACTATATAAGAAAGGACCATGAACTGGGAGCAAGTGATTACACAGTGCTCCTCCATGGGTTCCTCTTTAAGTTCCTGCTCTGTCTTCAGTGCTGGACTGTAACTTGGAAGACGAAACAAGCTCTTTCCTCACCATGTTGTTCTTGGTCACAGTGCTTATCACAGCAACAAAAATCAAACGAGGACAGACTTCTGCAATTGTAGGGCAAAGAATTTCCAAACCACAATACCCAAGCAGCAATATATATTACACATCAGGTCTCCCAAAATATGAAGAACTAGAGGCCTACAGAGCTGGGGTTGTAGCTCAACTATTAGAATGCTTGCCTAGTACATATGCATAAAGCTGTGGGTTTGATTCTCAGCATGGGCTGTAATGGCACATGCCTGTAATGCCAGCACTCAGGAGGTGGAGGCAGGAGGATCAGAAGTTCAAGTTCATCCTCAGCTACAAAGCTGAGCCCGGGCTGCCTGAGACAAAAAGGTGTGAAGGAAAGGGAGGGGGAGGGGAAAAGGGGAGGGAGAGGGAGAGAATGAGTATGAATAAAGGTTGATAGTATAAACAACCAGGAGCTGCTGAGTGTATCTACATATTCCACACCCCTTCTACTGGTTTCCCTAGTACCACTGCTGAGACTACTGAAATAAAACTGAAAGGCAAAGATGATCTCTAGAGATTAAAAGCTGAAAAAGATAAAATAGTTCTTCTCTTCAAAGGTTTGGTGTTAATTATGTGATTTCTGGTGTGTTTCATTATGTTGTATCTACATAACCTGAATGAGCAAATGTGAAAAGATGACATGGCCAAACTACATTTGAAAACCCAGTGTGTGCACTGCTAAAATATAGATTAAGTGGGCCTGTCGTGGCAGCATATGCCTTTAATCCTGGCTTTTTGCATGCTTGCCCTCACTACCATGCTGCTGAGACATTCCTTCACTGGTGTTAGAACCTTTCTTCAGGATTCCAACATAGATTGAAGATCAACTGAGACGTACGTCTAGCCTTGTAGACTAAAACACTACACGATTCTTGGCTTTTCTGTCAGTAGACAACCACAGTTGAGCCAGTTAGATTACAGTCTGTAGGCCACTCTAATAAATCACCCTTTACTATAGACTCATTCTACCAGTTCTATTCCTTTAGAGAACTCAAATACAAAGATAAGCAGTATTCTTTAATAGTCTCTTAAGACCACACCAGAATCACCCTATTTCCCAAGTCATTTTATTTACAGGATTCTTCTAGTATTCTTTCCTCTGCCCAAATAACTTAGCTTAAGTTTTATATCTTAAAAGAGAGAGAGAAACACGCCAGGCTTGGTAAGGCTTGCCTTTAATTCTAGCACTCTGGAGGCAGAGGCAGGCAGATCTGACTGAGTTCAAGGCCAGTCTGGTCTATAGAGTGAGTTCCAGTTCTGTTACAATGCTGTTTTAAATATCTTACTAAAACTAAGAAGTGGCCAGGCAGTGGTAGAGCAAGCCTTTAATCTCAGCACTTTCGAGGCAGAGGCAGATCTCTGTGAGTTCGAGGCCAGCCTGGTCTACAGAGTGAGTTACAGGACAGCCAGGACTGTCACACAGAAAAACCTTGTCTTGAAAAGTCAAAAAACAATGAAACAAGAAACAAAAACTAAGATGTGACAGGGCTGGAGAGATGGCTCAGCAGTTAAGAGCACTGGTTGCTCTTCCAGAGGATCGGGGTTCAATTCCCAGCCCCTACATGGCAGCTCACAACTGTCTGTGACTCCAGTTCCATGGGATCTGACACCCATGCACATAAAATAAGTTAAAAAAAAAAAACAAACAACAAAACAACAACAACAAACTCTAAGAGGTGACAAATGAAAACAGAGACGTCTGACTGGAGAAGAAAAAAAAGGGACCCAGGGGAGGGATTCTACGATGGAAGCAGGAAGTATTCTCATCTTTTTCTTTTTTCTTTTCAAGTGCTGGAAATTGAACTCTGGGGCTCACACGTGCCAGGCAATTGATCTACATTTGACTATTTGTCAGCTATTTTATTTTTTTATTATTTTTATTTTATTTTTGAGACTGAGTTTCACTAGCCTTGGCTGCCGTGGAACTCACTATATTGAGCATGCTGGCCCCAAACTCACTCCTGAGTGCTGGTATTAAATATGAACACACACACATATATGCATATATACAATCTATAAATAAAACATCACCTCTCTGTGTGTGGAGTTAATGTTAAGTGCTTGCTTTGAAAAACACATTTACTAACACTGGAATGATACAAAAAAAGATTCACATGGCCCCTGTGCAAGGATGACATGAGAATTTGCAAAGCATTCCATATTAAGAAAAATAGAGGGGCTGGAAAGATGACTCAGCGGTTAAGAGCACTGGCTGTTCTCCAGAGGAACTGGGTTCAATTCCCAGCACCATGTGGCAGCTCACAACTGACTGTAACGCCAAGATCTGACACCCTCACACAGACATACATGCAGGCAAAATACCAATGCACATAAAACAAAAGTAAATAAGTTATTAAAAAAGGGGGAAGGGGGGACTGGAGAGATGGCTCAGAGGTTAAGAGCACTGGCTGCTCTTCAAAGGTCCTGAATTAAATTCCCCGGCAACCACATTAATGGCTCACAACCATCTGTAATGAGACCTAGTGCCCTCTTCTGGCGTGCAGGCATACATGCAGGCAGAACACTGTCTATATAATAATAAATAGAGAGACAACAAAGCTACATCGGATACCACTTCACGTATCTTGTAAGAGCTTATCTTCTTTTCAACCAGAATAATCAGGGGAGAGCGCGAACGCAGTCCCCCACTACCACAAATTATGCAGTCGAGTTTCCCGCATTTGGGGAAATCGCAGGGGTCAGCACATCCGGAGTGCAATGGATAAGCCTCGCCCTGGGAAAACCACCTTCGTGATCATGGTATCTCCCCTGCCAGGTAAGTATGAGTTGCAGCAGCATGTAGCCTGAACAGCCTGGTGTGCGTACCATTTTAAAGTTATGGTGCAAACTTAAGCCCTCATTAAAAATCTCTGTATCGTTATCACAGTAGGTTCCAACATTCGGAAACTCTTAGGAGGATTGGCAGTCTTGTGATTTCCCCAAAACTACACTCCAAAAACCACAAATGTGGAAGTAGCAGCTTTTCCCAGTCTGCTCCTGAATTCTTAATCTACATAGTACCACCTCCATAGTGACTCACTTCCCGATACCGGAACTACCTCCCTGTCAGAAAAATAAAAATGTGAAGATAATTTGAAATCTGAACGATGCCTGAAAGGGAAAAAGGAGTTATGTGTGAACTAAGCTATCATTACCAAAATTTTCAAAGCTCAAATACTACTTATAGAAGTTTTCTAACTTGAACTTCTTTATTGTTGATAACATTATTTATTTATTTAATTGTGTATATGTGTGTGGGCATGTATGTGCCATGGAACAGTGTATGTGTAATCAGAGGAAAACCTGTGGGAGTCAGTTCTTTTCTCCCACCATGTGGTCCCTGAGGATTGAATGCTAGGCTAGCTGGTCCACAAGCTTCCAGGACTTTCCTATCTCTACCTCACATCTCAACATAGGAGCACTAGGATTATCCAAGTGCTAATATGCTCAGCCTTAAAAGCATTCTGGAGGGCTGGAGAGATGGCTCAGAGGTTAAGAACATTGACTGTTCTTCAAAAGGTCTTGAGTTCAATTCCTAGCAAACACATGGTGGCTCACGACCATCTATAATAAGATCTGATGCCCTCTTCTAGAATGAAGGCAAACTGTATACATAATAAATAAAATTAAAATAAAAAAAACATTCTGGAGACTTGAACTTCATGCTTACATGACATGCACTTTACCCACTGAACTATCTCCCCAGCTCTGATAAAGTCAAGCCTTAAGACTTGTACTGGACTTCTGGGACCTACATGGTGGAAGGACAGACTATTGCAAAGACAGACCACTGCAAATTGTCTCTCCAGCACACATCATGATCACTTGCGGTGGTGGCGCACGCCTTTAATCCCAGCACTCGGGAGGGAGAGCCAGGAGGATCTCTGTGAGTTCAAGGCCAGCCTGGGCTACAGAGTGAGTTCCAGGACAGGCACCAAAACTACACAGAGAAGTCCTGTCTCGAAAAACCAAAAACAATGTGGAGATTGCTCAGGATAATCAAAAGGGTTCTAGGTTTAAATTTTAGTTTCAAGAAAACTGTGCTTAAACATCCTCATACTCTGGGGGGTAGGCTTGGGGAAGGGGAGGGGGACAGGAAGGGGGAGAACAAGGGAATCCGTGGCTGATATGTAGAACTGAATGATATTGTAAAATAAAATAAAAGGGAAAAAATCCTCATACTCTTTATGACATGCATATTTAATGCATATTTAAAACTACACTGCTCAACATGTTGCTTCCTCCCTTAGTATTTAAACACCAATTTGCTGTATTTAAGGAGTTCCTTAAAGCTCTGAATAAAAATCCAGGCTAAGAACCATTGCCAAAGGAGAGGTGAGATAGTTCAGCAGGTAACGGGCCTTGTTGCCAAGCCTGACAACCCGAATTCCATCCCCAGGACCCACGGGATGGACGCTGAGAATCAACTCCTCTGATCTCCACACCAGCACCGTGGCTTGTGTGCCTGCACATATCCACAAAAGAACTGTAATAATAAAGAGCTGTGATGGATAAGTAGGGTACAAACGGGGAGAGTTGCGTATGCTTGTATCCCACAATTGAGGAGGTATTTTATTTTATTTTGTCTTTAGAGACAGGGTTTCTCCGAGTAGCCCTGGCTGTCCTGCAACTCACTCTGTAGACCAGGCTGGCCTTGAACTCAGAGATCGGCCTGCCTCTGCCTCCCGAATGCTGGGACCAAATACGTGCGCTACCACCGCCCGGCATAGGTTTATTTTTATTTATTTTATTTTATTTTACTTTATTTTATTTTTGAGACAGGGTTTCTCTGTGTAGCTTTGCGCCTTTCCTGGAACTCACTTGGTAGCCCAGGCTGG